CCGCGCGACCCCGGGCGGCGGGCGCAGAGCGCGGGCGGCGAGCCGGGGTGGGACCCTTGTTCGCTGATCTCCAGGAAGGGGCAGCAGTGAGCCGGCGACGGTTTGCTCATCTGTAAAATGGGCCCAGAAGGCTGAGACGAGCTAGGTTGTGACAAGCCTCCAAATGGAGGGAGCCACAGTCAGTAATTCCATTGTTGGCATTGGGGCGACCCTTGAGGGCACAGAGCATCCTGTTTCTGGCCCCTCAGCCCTGAGAGTCAGGCCTCTGCCCAGATCGAGTGGATACCAGGAAGGGCAGGCCTCTGGCCACTGAGGCTCATTCCAGAGCCCTTTTCACCGGGCAAAGGCAAGCAGGAGCGTCTGCGGTGCTAGCGGTTCACTAAGGGCTTCAGTGAGTGGCCCGCGGTGGTGGGCAGTCAGGAAGGAAGGAGCCCTCTGCTTGGGCCTTTGGGGGAGACTCCGTGAAAGAGCACAGACTTGGCGCAAGGGGAGAGCAGGCTCCTACCTTAGGAAGCCAGGCCCAAGGAAGTGGTTGCACACCAAGGCCCAGTTCTGCCTCGGTTCACACTTGTGCCCCAGTCCTACTGTCTCTCTGTGGACTCTGTGGCCAGCCAGAGGTACATTTCTCTGCTGGCCACTTCCTTTGGAGGCTGCTGGCCAGAGAGGGACTTACGTGGTACCAAGCGAGATGGGGCTGGGCTGGAGCCAGGAGGCCTCATGGGAAGCTGTTGGCAACATTTGAGGCCAAGAGAGAGCAACATTGCTCAGTGAGGGACTAGGCCCCTCGGCCACTCTTCTCTCCCTCTGTCACTCCTGGGCTTGGGTCTCCAGAGCTTCAATTTAAAGGCTGGGTATGAGAAACACCGAAGGCAGGTAGGACCCATGGCTCCAGGCCACCGAGTGAGCTCTGCTTTCCTGTGGGAGATGTGCAGGGGCCAGAGATAGTTGGGAAATGGCCCCGTTAGGCTCCCTCAGCACTGGAAGAGCCTCTCACAGCCCCCACGGAACCTTCCACCCACCAAGGAAAGGAGAAATGTCTTTCCCATGATCATAGTGAGTCCAGGGACAGATCTGTGACTAGAATCCAGGTCCCCACTTCCACGCTGGCCATCGCCGCTGCCCTCTCTCTGGGACAGGAGAACATCATGAAATCCAACATTGACAAGAAGTTCTCTGCACACTATGACGCCGTGGAGGCAGAGCTCAAGTCCAGCACCGTGGGTGAGCAGAACGCTAGTGGTACCCTCCCCTGGCCTGAGGCCTGCTGCTTGGCTGGCTCTGGGTGACCAACTCTCACCCCCATGTCTGCTCACTTCGCAGGTCTGGTGACCCTGAATGACATGAAGGCGAAGCAGCAGGCACTGGTGAAGGAGCGGGAGAAGCAGCTGGCCAAGAAGGAGCAGTCGAAGGAGCTGCAGCTGTGGGTTCTCTCCTCCCAGCCAGCAGCTGTCCACCCAAGATGTAGCTCCTGCTGAGATGGCGGGGATGGGGATGGGACAGGTGGCTCCTGCACATTGAAGGGGGGACCCTGTTTCATAATCAGAGCCCTGCCGATGAACTGGGAGTGCCCCAGGGCAGTAGGACTCCTCTGACTCTGGGTCAGGGGAGGGGCCTCGGGGGTTGGGGTGTGCATGATGGCTGTTTGTGCCTTGGCAGGAAGCTGGAGAAACTGCGAGAGAAGGAGCGCAAGAAGGAGGCCAAGCGGAAGATCTCCAGCCTGTCCTTTACACTGGAGGAAGAAGAGGAGGCAGGCGAGGAGGAGGAAGAGGTGGTCATGTATGAGGAGGAGCTGGAAAGGGAAGGTGAGTGCAGGCTTGGGGGACCAGGGAAGGGCCCTGCTGGCAGAGCTGTGTCCTGGATTCTGGCTTGAGAGTAAAGAAGGACATCTACCGCCCAGCGCCGTTCGACCGCTGCATTCGTGGTCCCAAACCTCCTGAGTCCAGACAGGAGAGAAAGGGAGACGTCTTCGCAGTGTGCAGAGCTGGGGCGGGGGGCTTGCTCTCAGTGGCAGAGTGCGTCAGAACCCAGTATGCCATCTCTGGGCGGGGGTGTGGGGTCTTCAGTGCAAGAGGATGCCAGACAGGCTGGTGCCCGATCATGAAGGTTCTAGAAGCTGCTCTTCATTTGTGCCACAGAGGATGGACAGTGGAGAAGAGATGATCTAGACCAGGTTGGCCAGTAGAACTTTCCAGAATGATGGAAACGTTCATGTTTGGGTGGCCACTGAGCATGTCGCTTGTGTGACTAGGGCGCCAGACTGTTCATTCTGTTTGATTAATTTCAGTGGAAGTTGACACAACAGCAGAAATTAAGTGGCTATCAGTTGGACAGTGCAGGTCTTGCCCGATGGAACAAGGGGCACCAGGGACAACTCGGGAAGGCTGGTGAGCAAGGACAAAGCCATCATGGGGCCCCTGTGTGCCGTGCACCTGCCTCCCAGCCGAGGCGGATGGCCAGAAGCCGGCCACTGTCCCTGTCCTTGTGGGAGTCAGGCGGGTCAGCGTGTACCTTGCCGGTGCCCCAGGCCAGCCCAGGGCTCAGAGGAAGCGCCCCATGGGGGCGGGGGAGGACAGGGATGGGACAGGATGAGGGGAGTTTCATTAGAACCCAGAGAGATGAGGGGGTGGGGGAGTGTGTGCAGTCAAGAGATGAGCGTGCCCAGAAGCGGAGCAGGCAGGAGTGGACACATTTGAGAACTTGGGAGGGTGTGTTGCAGGCCTGGGCTGGTTTAGAAAGCCTGATGGCCAGGGAATGGTATGGAGAAGAACCGACACAGGGGATGGCTGCATGGCTTGGGGACTGGCTGGCTGTCATAGCTTTGATGGCAACAGCCACTGCTGTCAGGAGGAAGTGCCTGCCAGCCTCCCAGGGGAAGCGCCCGGGGCTCTTTTCAGTACTGTTTAGTAAAAGTGAGTATCTAGCAACATTTGGCATCTAGAACATCACCGTTGGCAGGTCAGTTGCGTCCAGCGGGAGCTGCACGTGTCACTGGGGCGTTGTGAGCACTTCCTCCCTCGGGAGCTTTGTTTTGGGGGCCCAACCATGGGTAGCTGGTGTGGGAGTGTTGTAAATTCTCTAGGCTCTGGAACCCCTGCCCTGGCGTGTGGGGGCATCTTCTAGGTCCGTGTTTCTCAAAGAGTGCTGCAGGGACCCCTGGGGGTCTCTGAGACCCTTTCAGGGGGGTCTGCAAAGTCAAAACTGTTTTCATAATCGTGCTAAGATACTCTCAGCCTGTTGCACTCTTATGTTTTCATGGTGGAGTTTTCCAGAGGCCAAGTGACGTGGCATGACGCCATCCCTCTGACAGCTGATGGAGTGGGTGCTCTCATTTTCTTGGGTCCTTGTTTGAGTGTCCAGGGTGCCAAGACCATCCAGTTGAAGAATCACTGTTCTAGTTCATCTGCATCCTCACTGGGGAAACTGGCTCGGGCACTGGTGGCCATGGGACTTTGGGCTTCCATTTCTTCACTTGGTAAAAAGGAATGTCGTTCCTTTTGGAGGCTGTTGTGAGGAGCAGATGAGACATCAGCTATGTGACCATGAGAGCACAGCTCCTGTCATGGAGGGGCCCCTCCCTGAGCATCCACCCCTCTGTGGATGCCCTGCCCCTCAGTGCAAAGGGCCTTCTCTACATCAGACGCTGGTACTGAGGCCTTCCGTCCCCTGAGGCACTCCATGTCATAGCTGATGGGAAGAACGAGGTACCCCGTCTCCTGTTCAGCTTTTGCTGGTGGAGACCAAGGTGAAGGCTCCTTGCCAAGGGTGCTTTTTATAAAGGTTTCCGTAGGTGCTATGAAGAAGACTGCACAGGCCATTGTGGCTGGGAGCAGAGGGTGGTGCGTCCCAGCCAGGACTGTCCAAGAAGCATCCAGGGTGGTTGCGTTTGAGCTGAGGCCTGAGTGACAAAGGTCCAGGGTGCCCCAGAAGAGCTGATTCCTGTGTTTCCTTTTGCTTCAGAGGTCACCACAAAGAAGAGGAAACTGGGGAAGAATCCAGATGTGGACACCAGCTTCCTGCCTGACCGAGACCGGGAGGTAAAAATAGCCTGACCCTGTGCGGGGTAGAGGCCTTTGCTTAAGGAGTGGGGCCTGGCGTGCGCCCTCAGCAGCCCGGGGCCTCCCTCCGTTGCCCGATTTCCTCTTGCAGGAGGAGGAGAATCGGCTCCGGGAAGAGCTCCGGCAGGAGTGGGAAGCCAAGCAGGAGAAGATCAAGAGTGAGAGCTCCCTGGGTGGGATATGTGGGCCAGCGCTGGGGCGCCGGGTCAGCGGGAGGCCAGGGCTGGGGGCGGCTCAGGCTCTCCTGCCGCAGTCCTCTGGGCAGTGCTCCAAGCCCCAGGGAGCTGGCAGGGAGCAGGGACCCCTGGGTCTATAGGCCAAGAGGCAGTTCTGTTTTGTAGGCGAGGAGATTGAAATCACGTTCAGTTACTGGGATGGCTCTGGACACCGGCGAACAGTCAAGGTGGGCGGTGTGGGGCCTGCACCCCATTCTACATGCCTCTCGGGTGCAGCCTGCTTTGCATTCAGTGGGAGGGGACTTTCAATCCTGATAAAACCTGCAGGTCCCTTTGTGTGGGTGGCCCCTGGGGAGAGCAGGGAAGAGGGCTCGGCCCCCCGTAGGGGTCATGAGGGTTCCGGGACCCCTGCAGGCCACTGCCTTCTCGAGAACCCTTCTCCAGGTTTCCATCTTCCCTTCCTGACTCCCTGGTTCCCTGCACACCTGTCCTCCGGCCGCTCTTGCAGATGAAAAAGGGCAACACAATGCAGCAGTTCCTGCAGAAGGCACTGGAGATCCTGCGCAAAGACTTCAGTGAGCTCAGGTGGATGCCTGGGCGTGTCTGAGTGTGTGCACGGGGCCCTTGGCGGCTGCAGCTGTGGTCTCAGTCCTGGTGCCAGAGACCGCAGTGGTGGCTGCTGCTCATGGCATGCTGGGCGCTGGGTTCCTGCGAGGAAGGTCAGGCTCCCTTTCCATCCCTCTCACCATGGGGACCTCAGCTGGGAGCGCCTGCCCCATTTCTGTAGCCCAGAGGTGGAGGACGGGGGCGCTAGCTCCGGGTGTACCAGACCTTGCAAGCAGCCTCACAGCATCTTTCTTCCACACCCTCCTGCCTTTCTCTTTCAGGTCAGCAGGAGTGGAGCAGCTCATGTACATCAAGGAGGACCTAATCATACCCCACGTGAGTCCCTTCTCCTGCAGCCCCGGGGGGGCAGGGTGGCAGCGGGAGGGTCACGGGCTTCGGAGTGCCTCGGAGCTTTGAGGGAGAGCCCCCACTTCGCTCTGGGTGGGTGGGCGGTCAGGAGAGGCTGAGACGGGTCATCAGTAGTCACTTTCCCACCCTTGGCCCCTAGCACCACAGCTTTTACGACTTCATTGTCACCAAGGCACGAGGAAAGAGTGGTGAGTGCGCCTGGTGCAGCCCCCCTTCCCCGAAACTGGCCCCTAGCCTTGCAGGGCAGAGGTATGAGGGTGGGCCGACCCTTTCTCCCCTGCAGGGCCTCTCTTTAACTTCGATGTTCACGACGATGTGCGGCTGCTCAGTGACGCCACAGTGGAGAAGGATGAGGTACTGTGGTGCGGGGGCGCTGGGCGGGTTGGGGAGGAGAAGGCAAGCCCTGGGTGGCCCTGAGCCGCAGAGCCTGGCCCTTCTCCCTTCCCCAGTCGCACGCAGGCAAGGTGGTGCTGAGGAGCTGGTATGAGAAGAACAAGCACATTTTCCCCGCCAGCCGCTGGGAGCCCTACGACCCCGAGAAGAAGTGGGACAAGTACACGGTAAGGAAGCCCCTCGAGCTGCGGGCGGGAGGCAGCCTGGCCAGGGCTGGGCGCGCCACCCGGAGAAGACCAGAGATGGAGATGACACCCCCTGCTCCTCCCCACAGATCCGGTGAAGGTGGAGGTGCACGGTCCCCCTTTCCCCGCGGCTCCAGGACTCTGGGCACCTGGCCCTCTCTCTGAGACAGGATGGGCCAATCATCTGCTGCTCCGGCGCTGTCATTACTGCTTTTTTCTTTTATGATAAAGAAACGTCCATGTCAGTTGGAGCACCTGCACTGTTTCATTGAAAAAAATTTTTTTATT